TTAGATATAAACATAATTACAACGAAACTATTCGCTATTTATACAAATAAAAGCGAAGCGTAACTGTAGTACAATAACCGTGGGTTTCTGAGACCAAAATGATTCGATCCAAACATATTATTATATCTGCTTGTCAAAATTAACAAAAGGGATGACTATGTGTTTTATACAGAGATTTTGATTTCAGAAACCAATAGGAAACAAAAACGTATCACATATTAAGTTTGTCTTATAATCCGTTTGCTAAATGTTTCAGAATTTCTCTTTGCTTCGGTTCCGCTTTGCTTTGTCATAAACTCAAGGACAGAAAATAAAGTCTGATTCCAAACTTTGTTGATAAGTCGAATTGGTAACGCTTCGATTAGTTCACAGTTCAAGTTTATAATATTTCTAGCTCGATAATAAACTAACGAAGTTTACAATTTATAGGTAGCATATACCGTATGAAAGTTGGAAGTACTAAAAGTAGATAAATATTCCATATCGTAATCAGTTTGACATCAAACACTTGACCAGTTTCGAGAATCTAGACGTAAGGAGAGCAGGTGAGATTCTTATGAACCTAAATATTGTCAATATTGTATCAATAAATTTAGTAACTTCAGTCAGTTCATTGCAAAAGCTAATCTATTTCTAAAGACATAAAGACTGAAGGAAATGAAAATATGTTATCAAATGATTGAGTAAGAAGTTGTCACAGAATTTGGGTCAAATATTTTGATAGTTGAGTGCTGACTTTACGAAAGATAAACAATCATTTTGTCTCGTCTTTTTCTCTAGAATAAACGAGACTTCTCTATATAATAAATAATTTATTTAGCAATCTATCGTTAAGTATATTCTGGAGTATTACAGATATTAGGAAGCAAGATAAAAAAAAATTGTTCTTTCGCATTTTTTTTTTCGGAAACAGTATAATTATTACGTCGGATCATTTTATTTAAATTCGAAAATTTGCAGGAAATCTTAAAATGTTGTAATGTTTAATTTAAAGTTAGAATCACTCAACGAAACGTTAAGCAAAAAACTAAATCGATGAATAATTGAAAAACAAAAAGCGTGTTAAGAAACGATTTCAGTAACTACAGTTATAAATAATATTGGAATAATCGAAATTCACGGCTACAAAGTAAGCTGTTTGGTAAACATGAAACGTTTTATTTTATTTTTTTCATTCGCGACATCGGCATTGGAAACGGCCAGCAAAGACCACCCAACGTGCAATTGTTATAAACATATGCCGTAATAAAAGCAATTATTTTACAGATAGGTTATCTATGTTTGCGTTTAGATTTCATTTTCAATGAAATTTGATTGATATTTCGTCTACAAAATATAAACATTGACATCATTAAAGTTCTTCGACTTTGATAAAAGCGTTTTCTTTTTAACTGACTGTTACATTTCGGACATTACTTATTATTTTTTTTATAATATTTACAATTTATTTTTTTCCTTTTCTTTGATTGTTTTGTAGAGTTTAAATTAGAAGTTGAGAAGTTTGTATTTTTAATTCCATAAATGTATTGACCTTGGATGCTGGAACCACTGGAATGTAATTCAAATTTGAAACTGCACGTTGAATAAATATTTCTCTGTCGCACGCTAAGGGGAAATGCTTTACACAACAGCTTTATTACCTTCACTAAGTATTCCTCCCACAAACAGCAATTAACAAACCAAACACGCTATCTCTAAGAGCTAGTTAGCAACAAACATAAATACAAGCCGAGCAATTATTGCAAGAAGCCAAACAAAACCTTTTTTTATTCGACGTTCGAGCAACCGTCGAGTGCCGTCAAACCTTTTAATAAACATCTTCAAAATCTATTCCCGATTCGTTTAATATAAAAGAAATTCTCAACATCGTCGTAGAAAAAACCTCTCTTTATAAACAATCAAATAGGTGGAATTCGAAAAAGAAATCGATTTTGCGGCAAACGATTTACTTTCTCAAGGCACGCAATTACGTTATTTTAGTTTTTACTGGATTATAAAACGTTAATGAGGGTGCCTGTTTGTGTGCGGTAGTTTTTTGCGCATTCGGTCTTTATGGGTCTTTTATCATAACATTTCATTAAAGTATAACAACTTAATTTGAGAAGGCGCCTTACCGCCTACGTCGATTGATTTCACACAAATTATGATTCACCGAATTCTTTTTTAAAACACCCTAAATGTGCAACAACATTCTTAAAAATGAAATTTAATATCAACACATTTCCAACTTGAAATTTATAATTTTGATAAATTAAATTAAATATAAATTAAATTATACTAATTGGCAACCCTACCGTGCTAGCGCAGCGATTTGGGGTCGATTTTTTATATTATTTAGTTTTATTTTTAGTTTGGTTTAGTTTTAGTATATAGTTTATTTAATATATAATAGGATAAATTAATTCATTTCTTTTGTAGTTGTTAGTTAGTTATTGTAAAATAGTCTACCTAAGTTAACTTAATAAATACAGGATTTTCAATAATACTAAATGCACGTTAAAAAGATTTACTGTATATAAATATTTGTTAAAGACACTTACTTATAAATGGAATTTTTGGTAACCTTTTTTTAATCAATATTAGTATATTCAATGTTAGTACAGTGAAAGTTTATTAATACTCATCTCCTACGATCAAAATTAAGTTACAATCGCCTCAAGGCATCGACACTTTAGGTAACTAGTATATTTTCTATCTAACTCAGTGCGAGTTATTAAATTTCTTTATCAGTGAGTTCATATCTAATTTTAATTAAAAAGAGTCACATATTTTATGCGATATTCGGCAGTAGGCGGTGCAATGTGTCTGGTGAGATAGACGCGACTAAGATAATTAGAACTATTTGTGCTATATCTTTGTTTGAATGGAGTTTGATAATTAGAGGTCAATGTATACTGGTGATGCAATATTAAATCGTTAAATTTAATATTGCTCGTATTTTGTTTTATTGCTCCACACTCGGAGCGTCAAGTGGTCGTTTTCCACGTACCGATTCTATTTAAATTCTCACGCGATTATCGATCGTATTGTTTAATCGAATAATGAATCGATTTCATTTGTTTATCCATGCTTTGATAATTAAACGAATTGAGTTTGCGTTTTACACGTGTCTGACATGAATACCTTTTTACCGTTTGATCATTATTTATTGATTTACAATAATTTGTATTAATAGCCATACATAATATTTAAATAGTTTAAATTCAAAAATTTTAGTGCGATTTTTTTCCTGAAGGATTTTTAAATAGAAAAGAAATCTTCATTCCATTTTGTTGTAGGAATTTTCACTGTCTTAAAAATATTTTTATACGCCTTATTTATACAAATGGGTAAGAACAATTCCCTGTCAAGTCTATGGTAGCCTCTGTAGAAAGTGCATTATGAAATTGGGTATTAATTACTAAAGTTTTCACTTTGATTATGCTTGCCTTCGGTGGCAATAGAAAGAAGAACTTATGTAACGAGTTGACATCGCTCTCATCTGCCTGCATAGTCGTCCGGTGGCGCGTTACGAAATGTCCGATGTAATATTACTAACAAATAAATCATGCTAATATTAAATTTATTAACGTGTCCAAGTGCTGATGGATTGCGATCTTTATTAGGTCAGCTGCGCTTGTTGGGTGTAATGCGAACTCCACAATCTGACGCGGCATTTTGACGTACGCGACGTAATTAATAATTGTAATTCAATTAAGTGATTTTCAATTTTATAACAATGTTATAAATACTAATTTACAACAGTTTATTAGATCGTAGTATTTTACAATACGTAACAATATACGGAAATTATAACAATGTGTCATTTGTCATAGGATTGGGAACAATTGAGTTAAAATGGTGTTACTTCTTGAAACTACAGTAGTTAATAAGCCCAGTTTAATGCGATTTAAATATTCAACTGATAAAGCAACTCTATCATAAATAAACAGAAGTTCAAACAAGAACAAGCATTTATTTAATATTAAAATAACTATATAGTTTTTAACATGTCTCAAGAATTGGCGTTGCTACGCGTAGCTCTATTATATAAAGATTTGCGATAATCCATAAGCAAATATTAAACGTCAGTATCCGCACTAAATAACTAAAGGTGAAAGTACTTTTTATTTGTACAGTTGATCGTGTTAAAAAACGCTCGCTCTTGCGTCAAATATTAATAGTGTTTAAACACTTCCTTGGAATTCAAAACATAAATATGATTATACCATCAGCTGTCTTGATAATAAGTGAAAAGTCATTATGTATTTAATTTTATTCACATTATAGAAATTTTAAGTTATGTATCGTTATTATGTTACTCAAAAACTACAGTTATATTTTCTATTCAAACATTGAAAATTAATTTGACTAACGATAGCATGTCTTTTAAATTATACATTTTTTATTTTACCTAGAACTTAGTTCAGACTACTATTAATCCCCAAATTATGCATGTCTTTTTCAATTTTTTGTATCAATTTAAAAACAATGAAAGTATTGATGGAAACAATACTGCGACTATAATCGTGGGTCAGGAATCTAAACCTATTTATTCCTGCGTGGTGACCGTTCACTTACTATATTGCACACAGGGCTTTACCTGTTGCAGTGGCTGGCCGTTGACCCTTGCAGTATTGACATATTCCTATAGTTCCTCACGTCTGGCCTTACCTGCCAACATGATTATAGTAAGCCCGCAACTACTCTACTATGCCGTGTTACCTTGCCAACGCGAAGGGTTACTACTGACGCTTGAATATAGACATGTTTGGTTGTATGAAGAAATACTTTATAATAACGCGGTTTAAAAACGTAGGTTACAACGCTATATTGTAACATTTTCTAAATATAACTATTTAATTTATTTTGTCAAAATGTTTTCGAAATTTTTTTCTACAAGTACTTTTACGTTCAAGAATACCATGACAAAAGTCTCGAGTCGATCTCTGACCAAAAACGAAAAGTAAAGCTTGTATAATGCTGCAAATAAATGAAGTGGTGACATTAATAGTACTTACGATGGTCGTTTCCATCGGAGCGGGCCATGACGGTGCCGTTGGGGAACACGTTGACGTACATATGCGAGCACTGGTTGTAGAGACGAACCGACCGGACCATCGATGGCACCGCACCGCAGATCACCACCTGAAACAATGTTGCACGTATTACAATGAGACACTTTTCGTCTCATCTGTACAATTTCTATAGCAATTTTCTACGTGATTGTACCTTTACAGTCATGCCTTGTATGTTTCTCAACGCATCATTCGTTAAAATGGGTTCATTCATTTAGGCTACAGGACGTCCCAATAGAAATTATATACTTCAAAATCTGATAACACCACAGTCAGTGAAACAATGATATACGCATTAAGTAATAAATAAATCAAATGTTATGCATTTCAACTTGTAGCGAATTGAATATTAATCTAGTTATATGAATATTTTATTGTTACAACTTTATTAAATGCATGTATCGATTAAAGATAATTTTACAATATGTATTATTACTGAATTTCCACTATTATACACAATTTAAAAAATCATTATAGTTAGTAAGTTTTCTTAAATTGTACTGATATCAAGGTCGTAGCAATTGCTACGAATTTGAAAGGAGAATTTTTTTTCTTGCAAAATAAATGTCATGAAACTCTGAACTTATAAATGCTCTTTAACCCTTATGTTCATTTTTTATATTATACCATAACTTTATAAAAATATACGATCGCTATAAAATAATTTTCAACTTAGTTTTTTTTTAACTTTGTTTTTGCTTTTCTTCAAAAAAGAAATCTTGCCACAACAAGGCTTAAGAAAAGCGTCTATGAATATTTTTAGTTACAAAATATCACTAGATTCTATTCTACATTGTATAATAGATTATATAGTCAAAGAATTAAATTCGCTGCCCACTAAAAACCATATTTCGTATAACAAACGGTTACCATAAGAGATAAAATTTAGTACGCATGTATGCTGCTTTGAAGGTAATCGAATTCATTTAATTGTGTGCGTCAAATGACATTTTTCCGAAATGGGTAGAAAATTAACGTCTCCAACTGTATATTCCATACAAGTTATAAAAGTTCTAGACATATACTTGGTCAGTCAGAGGTCGATATCATAAGCACTTTACCGCTACAGCTAAATATTCATCGATTAACATACGCAAAGCTGTAAGTGATAGTTAAACTGACTTAATTATGGTAGTCGTATCATCGTAACCTAAACGTTAATTAGTAAACCTAACTATGCAATACGGCCCTGTCAGTGACACTAATACACGGTGTTCAAACATGTTGATGTTTATTACAGAAAACATTTTAATTTTTATTATAACTTTTGCTATTAACTAAAAAAAGTGCACTAACATTTAAAACAAATCATCATGTTAAAACCTTTCGAACAAAAAAAAAATCATAATCGGAGCACCAGGGCCGGAATTACGAGGTAACACATAAAAAACGGACGAATTGATAACCTCCTTCTTTTTGAAGTCGGCTAAAAAGAACAATGTCCCAAAAGTCAATTTTATTTTAAAGTTAATTTTCAAAGCTATATTATATTATATATTACTTGCATTGTATAGAATTTTAATAAAGTAATAAAACAATATAAGAGTCTATATAAAGTCTATATAAAATGCTTGATGTGGATAACACGTTGTAAAATAGGATATAACTATATGTGAGGTCCGTATCAGTGAAATTTTAACAACTACATGTCTAATAGTTCAAATTAATTTCCATATACTGTTGCATTGCTTTCGCTTGGCTTTTAATGGCGCCGGTATTCTTCGAGAGGCTCATTAAGTAGATATTGATCAATCTGTTTGATACTCTGTGGTTTGTGCAGCTACTGAATATCGATGGGCTATTTACACGTTCAATGCTCTGTATAAGTTAGTTCTAATAATGCAAAAGTTATTTAAAAAAATAGATTTAAAGACAAATAGGAACAGACTAATGTATACATACTAACTTTTGGAATAATTATAGGCGTAATTGAAATTTTGTTAACAGTAAATGCTGTTAAAGCAATTTAAAAATGTAATCAAAGGAATTTCATGAGTCGTACAGAATTTTATAACAATAATAGAACCTTCAGTCCTGAGCACAATAAGGAAACAATCGATCGTTTTAATGGGTCAGCCGTGCTCAGCTTAGCCGTCAAGCTGAGAACTTGAACTGCGCAAGTTTAGGCAATTTTAAATCCTATTCGATATATCGAAAAAGTCGAATATTCCTTCTTATAGGATCTTGTTTTACGACCTTTTACTATTAAAAGGGCGGTGTCATATTCAGGTGGGAAAGCATAGGCTACCGCGCCGCGGTCACTGATCAGCTATATTGCATTTCAAGTTTCTTTTCTTACGCACAGGGTTTATACCTCGTTCCAATTATAAACGAAGATAAATAAAAAAAATTAAAGGTGACAATTGTGCAGAATTTTGCTGTGCAAAGATTGGCTTACCAACTTCATGAAGAGAATACATCAAATGGTGCAGATTTATAGAGTTTGTATCACGTGAAAAAGGGAGAAAAATTAACTAAACTTTAATAAGGCAAAGAAAGGACGCGTCACTTTGATAGTTTTCATTATTATAGATAAACTAGTATACTAGTAAAAATGTCAAGAGATGAAATTCTTCGTGATTATGAAATCAAATCACATTCCCCTAAAAGTTAACCTATAATCGTAAATTCACTTTTAATCAAGTTCCGAGTAGGTCGAAGCCCAAAACCCACATTACGAAACATTCATTATGAAAATGTTGGCCGGTCTTAATAAACCTGACACATTATCATTAACACGTCAAAACAGGTCATACTTAAAATTAACGACCCAATAACCGCATATGAAAATATATATCAAATTAATTTTATGATCATGAAAATATTTACGGATTTTTATAAGTATACTATACTTACAAGTTATGTTGGTTTATAAGGAAATAGTCTCAACGGCGATAAAGTAAACATACCAACTTATTTGTTTATAAATGAAGAAATTAAATAATTCATAAAATCAACCTTATACTTATAAAATTTTGTGTCACGATGTATGTTCGCGATAAACTCCGAAACTACTGAACCAATTCTTATCAAATTTTGTGAGCATCTGGAATTTGGCCCAACTTGGGAGATAGGGTAATTTTTATCCTTAATTATTTTTTAATTCTGCGCAAAAGAAGTCGCCGGCGACCGCTAGTTATGTATAATTAATATTAATAGCAATAGAAATTATATTGAATGTCATACGACTATTTAATTACATGATTACAAAGTTACTTATTTAAAATCTAGAAGTAATATTAATCAATTACAATAATTGATATCAGTATGTTTATCACATTTGACCGAGTCGAGAGCAATAAAAATTGTTTAAATGGACTTTAACTTTTTATGAACATTTGTTTACCCATCTTATTGATATAAGGCGGTTAAAACTTACATCAAGGTTGCGTGTCGATCTCATGTCTTATCTGTTTGTGTTTAATAAATTCCTTCGGCGTATTGTTAAAGCATTAAAACGGTCGCTAGGCAACACTAATAAAGTTGACGCAAACATGCATAGAATTAATTCGTTTTGATATTCGCCTTCCACTTAATTTTTTAGCATTTCAGTTTAACCTAAATTAACTATCGAGGAATGAAGTAAATATCAAAGGATCTTAAAGCCTTTTAGTATTTGGTGATCACTATATTGAACTAATAACGTTATCAATGTAAACCCGAACGCACACATTATTAACGGATGATTACATATCAATCCTGGCGAAACTATCCATCGCAAATGTATAGGAAATTTACAAGCCGCGAACTTTGATAAATGTAATTAATATTACGAAAATTATATCGTATTTGTATGCGGACGTTTGATGAGCGAGACCCCACACATTATAATAGCTGCTTGAATACAAATTATCTCGTGAACCGATAACAGAGAATAAATTATTAAATTCTATTTCACATTCCAAGTTTGAGATTCCTTATTCGACTTTCGTTTTCATTTAGCTTACGGATATAGCATATTAAGTTCCTTAGACATTAACCCATTAGTTGGATCAAATATTAAGCTGTGCTAAATCATGTTTTTTCACCGTAAGAGTAGAAAAATTAAGTTGTCATTTTGTATACCATTGAATAAACTACTGTCACAACATAAATAAATTGTGTTTTTTATGCCTTAAAATACGGTAATACTCATGTTACACTGATGCTGAATATCGTACGTTAACAATAGCACTAAATTTTCTAGAGAATGCCAGGTCGACCTGCACTGATAACAACAGCAAGGTTTATCGTACGAAGTGACCTTACAACTAACCTAAATAAATGCAATGGTCAATCTTACCTGCTAATTAATACAAAACATATATATAACTAAATGACCAAACGACGCGCTTAAGGAAGCTAATCATAAAATAAAACAATGTGAGCGCCTTTAATTAAATATTCAAAAAACCCAATAATTGTTTTGGTGATCTTGAAAATTATATTACTTTAACAACTTTTTATCCCTCCATTCTCTTTGCAAGATACAAATATCGAAACGATTTTTGGATAGTAGTTACCGCAATGAAAGCTCACGGTGGTTTCCTGATGATTTGATGTGATTTGTCTTAATCACATTACAATTAATATACGTTACTAAGGATTAAGGAAAAGTAGTTATATATCTGCAAGAGACTCGAGTGTCATTTCACGTTAATACAATATCATTGTCACGAGTTGATGTAGATACTAGAAATGGTGATAGCCTAATTTTGTATTCGAACGGTTGGTACGATCCATGTTCATCTTATCTCTGGTCCTCCTTATACTTATTAGGATGACCACACAAGCTTCAGATACGACGTAATTGTTTTAATAAGATAATTTTTAAACAATAATAATGTATAGTTTTATCGTGTTTGTTGTCATCACCTCCAACATTTAGTTAAAAGGTTAGTTTTTTTCCTAAGTAAATGTATAAGGAAACAATAATATTGTTATGACAAACCACTTGACCCACTTGAATCTAGCACTTGTGGAACAGACTATGAAATATGCGCAGTAGATGAATAATCTAATACCTGTCAAAGATACATAATAGTGACACAATATGTTGACTTTGTAACTAAGATGTAGCACTACTTTAACTAATTTTTAAATAGTTTTGCATTTGGTCATATTGTCGAATCACTAGTATAAAGTATTTTGTTTTCCGTCTTAATCTTATATATAAAATTCTCGTGTAACAATTTTCGTTCCCATACTCGTCCGAAACGGCTTGACCGATTCTCATGAAATTTTGTGAGCATATTGAATAGGTTTGAGAATCGGACAACATATATTTTTAATCCCGCGCCGACGGAGTCGCGGGCGACAGCTAGTATTTCTGTAAAAACAGACAACAATATTCCTTAATATAAATTTTACGGCTGTAATTTCACGAGTAGGTTTTCATGCATTTTTCTAACAGCAATGACAACAGGACTATTAAATAGACTTTTCGGTACTTAATTTTTTTATGTTTTTGTTTACTATTAAAAAATTTCACATAATTGTCAAGAAGTATGTGATATACTGTTATGTTGTTTTGTTAGATATATTGTTTTGTTTTTGGATTATTTACTTTTATATTTTTACCTCTTTTTCAAAGATAAGTTTTTTCTTACTGAAAATAGCATCGTCTATGAATTAAGATATGCTCATAACATCGCATACCACTGGCCTGATTACATATTATATTAATATTTGTACGCAATAAGTGTTAGTACAGCAAATACGGCCAAACAACTCGTTGGGCGACAAACAGATTTCTTTCCACACCGTCCTAAAATAGTGCCCGTTTGTCTCGCAACCTAAACGGTAATATTCAAAGCACCACGTAGTATTTTTTTTATAAATATGAAGTGCCAGTTTAATTTTAACCAACCGTTCTCATTGAACGTTTCTTTATAAAATTAAAAGAAATACTGGTGTTTAAAGGAACATAAACACTAGTATTAAACTTTATAAAATTTTCTTACTAATATTAATATAGCACAAAAAATTACCTAAAATACTCATTAAAACACGTAAAAAAATCACTTTCAATGCGCAAATAACACGTATTTAGTTTAAAACACTCCCTGTTTGGTAATCGAGTAAACGATGGCGGCCACACAAGACGCGCTATTAACTGGCGGATTAAATAATGAAAACTCTCGACAGCACGATTTAATAAAGCTAAATTTCTTCATCTTGTAACACACAGTGTTCGTGTTCATAATCACGGCAAATGATAGTCCGTCGTTAAACAATGAATCGTCTTATATTAACTTAGAGCATACGAATATTAGCACCACGAACAATTTTAGAAGACTTTAAGGTAAATTTTAAGATCCTACAAAAAATCTGAAGTAAAAAAAAAGGTTTTTTTTTCTTTCGTATTTCCCTTTGGTTGCGGTTATAAAAAGAATTATAGTAACAGGCGTAGACACTGTTATTCTACTTTAAAATATAATACAATTTAACGGATTCGGTCTCATTATTCAGATATTGTTTTTGTGGTATTTCCCCGGCCAATTCTATATTTATCATCATATCTACGAGTAAGTATCTTGATCGTAAATATTATTTTATCAAAAATTACAGCTTGCAAAAACATTTTAATCACTTGCAATGTTTATTTAGCTTGCAATTTTGTGCCAATGAAATTATACTGAATTTACATTTATAATGAAATTACGTATATCTACGTTCAATTTTAAAAAAATTGCCATCAGGCCATACATAATGTTTTTTTTTTTGTTTAAGATAAATTCACCGTTTCTTGTTTCTAGACTAGTTTTCGTTTGGAATTATTTTCGCCCGCGAGAAGTCAATTTTTTTTCCAGATTATGTTTTATATGTATGCCAAATTTCATTGAGATCCGTTCAGACAGTTCAGCCGTTGTCAGGTTTTTAGATACCATCCATCTGTCCATCCAACTATGTAAACCTTCGCATTTATAATATTAGTAAGAGTTATACAAAAATATATATTAAGAAGTCATGTACACTAAGACGTGAAAATTAATTACTAAAACTAACAAATACGTTTTATTTACGTGACATGTGAACAACATTAATTTAACTAAATACATAAACCAGCATAGTAAGCCATAATTGAATACTTTTTATTGAGTGCTACGAACTGCCAAAGACGTAGCCAAGTCATTATCTTACTCGACCTTTGTCTTTTGATATTACAAAGGTTATTATTTTAATTTACATTAAGTTTAATACTCTTGTATTAATGAAAATATTTTGCTCAAATTAAATATTAAAGATATAAAGGAATAATGTGATAAATTATTATATCTTTGGTCTCATTACTAAACTAACATTTACTATATATCTTGCTAATATTATAAATGCGAATGTTTAGATAGATGGATGGAAAGATGTTTGTTTGTAGGCAGCCCTGGATCGGCTAAACAGATCTTGATGCAATTAGGCACAGATGTAGTATCAGGAAGAACACATAGGCTACTCTTTCAGTTTTTTTTAATCCTGCACGGACGGAGACAGTACTTTATAATTGTTAAAACAATCAAAAACATAGTTACTTACCATCAGGAGGCACAATATCTTCGCAGAGACGGCAAGCTGTGGTAACCTGAGAAAAGAAAATGCAAAAGTTAATTTTAATATTAATTATATAATCTTAACATGGATGTCCAGTACCAAAATATTAAAAAACACATTGTCAAGAATAGAAGCCAATGGTTAAAGATATAATGATAATAAAAATAGTTGAATTTTTTGTACTTTGCACCTTAATTATATTTGTTGTAGGTACAAATTCGCTTAAAAGTTTAACCAGATATTGTCATAGCTATAAATTATACGAGATGAATTACATTAATATAATTATATGAGCATTATTAATTACAAATAAAACGCGACTCATTTGTTTGCGCATTTTTAAAATTTTTGTCATGGCGCCATTATTTTTTATCTTGCTACGAATCGACATTCCGCAAGAATACGATAATAAATCAAAATATTATTTTATATTATTATATTAACATTTTTATTGTATTTTGAATAAATTAGTTTTTTATTCTTGAAGTTAAGCTCTTCGTTTTGTATTAGTCTTACTCAAGTTCCGGATGTGTCCACTTGAAAATGGAAAGCGTCAATATTGTTAAGCAAATTTGTGGTGTGGATGCACTGAGTATTGTTTATTGAATGGATTAACAGCAACAAGTTTGATTTTAATTTTAAATAATTGTTATTTTAAGCTGAGAAATTCTTGTAAATAAAAATGACCGTATTTTCGAGTAGCTATGCAGTTTAAAGTATAAAGTATGCATATGCTTTTTTTTTATATCATAAGGTAGCAAACGAGCGAACGTTGCCCATAGACATACGCAATTGCATATGCGTTGCCTACTTTTAATCGAGGGGATGCACAGAAAGAAAATATCTTCCCTTGCCATGCATCCTCTCATACGGAAAGTCCACTTCCACTTCCCATCCTTTCCTTATAAGAAAAAGGGTGGGAAGGGAAAGAGGACTAAATTAGGCCTCCGGGACGCACACTCATCAGACGAAACGCGGAATTGCTTCCACTTCACGCCTGTCTTCTGTGTGGTCGTGGTATTTCACCGGGAGAGCCGGGCCAATTCGTGCGAAGATGTTAAAGCTGGCTCTACCACTGTTGAATTTATCATATTAATTAATAAAAGGAAACCAAACAACAGATTAATTAAATAATCTATCTAACATGATAATCTAAATAACTTGGGATTTTAAATTTTATCATAACCATTCATAAATTTTAAAATTCTTTTATTTTGTTATTCAATTACTTGATAAACGTATTATGTGAGTTTATCTTCAATTAAAAAGTTCGAAGGCCACAAATCATTTATTTTTTGTTTCATAATGCTACGAACTATTTGATTATAATATGTTTTCTCAAACGTTGCACTATCCCTTCAATTGTTGTATTGACTCGTTAACGTGAGTTCAACTCACGACGCAAATGTAAAACGATATCCGTAGACTGGCGCCACAGCCTCGCGTCGGCTACATAAGCCGCTTCCTTTTAATCCACTAATACTACGTTTCTCAAACCATAACCAACAAATATTCGAATTTATATTACATTTTAATAATAATATTTTACAATGTGCATTTTATTCGAAGTTCTTACGGTGAAGAAAAACATCGTGAAGCAACCTACACATATCTGCGAAGAAATACAAAGATATGTGTGAAGTCAACCAACCCGCACTGGGCCAGCGTGGTTTACTATGGCCTTGTAAATTTGGGTAAGCTCTAGTCTCCTAAGTGGGGACCTATATTGAGCTGAGGATGATGATCCATGATTTTATACATTTTTATTTATTAAGATTACTTAACAACGGTGAAATACTACATATTATATGGTATGTTAGTGTTTTAACGTTGTATAATAACATTGGAATTCAAACATGCTGACACAGAAACGCGCGGGTGTTCCATCGTCACGCGGCCCGGCCTCGAATAACAGTAACATCAGCACATAGTCCACTCATTACAAACGCTTCGGTAAACAATCAAACTCCCAGTGCGTCACGTATTTGTAGTAATATGATCGAATGGGGAATCTAAGGGCAGGTACCCACTAGCGTTTTTGTCAACACGCACCGAAAGAAGTTATTCTATATGCCGCATTTAATGTCAACGTGCGATCTTCCCCTTCGGTAAATTTAATGTTTGAAACCTACACTCAGCGCCTTCTTTAGTGATTCTGATATTACGTTAGTTGCAAAGTAGTAATACTAAATAAATACTTGTATTACTATGAGTGCGTTCTTTTTCCGTGCGGTGAAACAACGCAAGAGGGCGCCTGGCTTTTATTAGTCAATCAAGTCCTTGTCTATCTATCGTGATGGCACAAACATTTTTAAACAAAAAGCAAGTTCAAAGATCACGTAATCATCGTTTCCTAATCGATGCAATCTACGTAGATACAGCACGTATAGCTCTGTTGCATTGGAGGCTATACACGGATATTGTGCTCAGTTTATAAGGCCCGAGACTTCCGGCCAGGTGCCATACAATCTTATAGAGAAGGACAGACCACCCGGTCCATAGTTATCAGTTTGCAATTAACGTTATAATTTTTTTTTAGTCGCATCCGAACGCTAATAGGTTTAAGACTATTCTGTCACTAAAGTAACAGACAAGACGCAAGGTAGATAAATTGAAAATGATAATGCATAGAATTCGAATAACTTTGAATAACATAATATTTAAGATGTAACATAACTTTTATTAAAGTTTTAACGTCTAATGAACAATTGCTGAAACCATAAACAGTTTAATTATTTTATATTTTTTATTCATGTATTTTGTAGTGTAACGTAGTGAAAAATATTTTTCGTATACACTTAATGGAAAAAACGGCCAGATATTAATTTAAAGTAACTTCTTTATTTACTCGTACCCGTTACTGAGAGAATACGACATAAAATTTAAAAGTCGTATGCTAATTATTATTTACTTTCTTTAGAACATTATTGAGTAACGAAGGTGTAAAAATACACAAGCGTCTCTTCTTTCGTACTTATATTTGTTGAGACAAACTTGATTACAGCATTATAAATTGATAATTTATAAGACTAGGTGTTAATTTGCGGAAATCCGTTCTTATCCTTATAATTAAACTAACCCCGCGAATCTATACACGCAGAATTAAAAAGAATTAATTAGCATGTGTTTTTCCACATAAGTTCTACATATCTGCAAAATTTCAGCGAGAGCTATGTAGCCGTTGTAGAGATACCTTATAACAAACATCTTTCCATCCAAACATTAGCGTTTATGTAGTGAGAAACCTTAAGATCTTATAGGGACATTGCTATGTAAACATGATCTCTCTCTCATACTTCTTTAAAAAAAAACGAGAAAGCAATGTTTTGGACAGTTTTTTCAGGAATGGTTACTATGAATTTATATCGAAGGCTTTTTAAAAACTGGAAAACTGATTCACGACGTGTTTCATAAATAATTATTTCTTATCTTGTATCTATTTTATTACTTGCTAAACCAGAATATTTTAATAAGGTGAGATTTTTACGATTGTATTAAAAATAATTCAGTTTATAATTTAAATTTTAAATTTGATTTATCTGTATTGTTTTTGTCTGGTATTCATTTTATAAACTAGGCTTTATATAATTAAAATTAAAAGCCTGCAAGAAAAAAAAGATTTTCATGTTTTATTTGAGCATAATGATATCGAACGACTCTAATATATTAGTCAAATACGCGCGATTATAAAAGGATGTATTTGGCTTTTATACATTTTAAATTAAAATATTTAAATGTATGCAGAATATACGAGTTTAATATCTCAGTATTAAGTAGCTTTTATCGTGCGAATACACGGTAGCTAATTAAATTATTTGAACAGATTCGATTAAGTCAGAAATATTTCGGAAATTTTATTCTGATTATTATTGTAAACAATATTTTTGTTACAAAGTACCCGGTTGCTAATTTCCGCCGAATTCATTTACAAAATGACGTGTTTTATGTATGTTTGTAAAGATTCGTCGTATGCATATACAATAACTCATAGATTCAAGGTCTGCATTTTACCCGACGCTAGTTTGTTGGCTTATCTTAGTTATATTACAGTTTATGTTTTTCCGCTGCCTATAAAAATACGTATCTTAAAAACAAATAAATGCCCAAAAAATGAAAACGATGACAGCGCCACCTATCAACTCTAACACAAAACTAAATTGTAATCATCCAAGTAATCACTTGTACGCACAAAAAAGTTATAAAATCGTTTCAGAATTCACTACCTTCTTATCGTGGGTTTCTGTCACCAAAACTTCTATATAAAACATATAGTCATCATCAGCTCACTATACGTCCCCACCGAGGGGCTCGTAGTTAGGGGTGACTAGGCCAAAGTCAACCACGCTGGCCCAATGCGTGTTAGTTGACTTCACACATATCTTTGAATTTCTTCTCATATATATGCAGGTTGCATCACAATGTTTTCCTTCACCGTAAGAACATTGGATAAATGTACATATGTAAATCGAAAACAACATTGGTACATGGCGGGTTTCGAACCCAGGTCGTGCAGATTGCAAGTCAAGTGCTTAAATCCCTGAGCCACCGAAAACATATAGTCATCGCCGTCATTATCTGCGACAACTCAGAAACCCACAGTTTGTCGTGTTACTTAGGTAGATAAAAACTAAATTCATTTGAAGACCGGAAACACTGACTTAAAATCTATTTAATCATAATACAAGACTATGAGCTATAAAAAGGCAAAAACAACATTTTTTTAAATACGATTAACAGATATTGGTCTTGATAAGGATAAGGATATGACCGGATGAACGTACTGTAAGAATTTTAATCACATATCAACGTGTTACATAAAATCGAATGATCCAAGTGACGTGTAATTATTTAATAAATAAATGAGATAAAATCTTGTTGCTTTGTTAATTATCTGATTTTTACGTAGCAAACCTAATTGTCCATTTCTTAATGCAATTCGGCAAACGAGCAAGCCGCTTGACGCTGCTAAAATAGCCAAAAGGCCTTGTGGATAGATATCTACAACAAATGATAAAATGTAAAGGAAAAGAG